AACAGTAAACTAAAATTTAATGATAACAGTAAATTATATAAAACAGTAAATAACAATAAATGATAACAGTTTTAATTTTTGGGTGATCTATCCCTTTAAAGAGAGTCTAGTCAGCTATTTTTTTTTGTACTTAAGTGTAATATTTGTGACATTCCAACAGTCCCGAATTAATGTTGAATTGACTGTTTCAAAACACATTGCCTTTCGTGCTCAAACCTTGCTTAAGAATACTGATCAGCTGTGATTCCACATAGGGCTTTGACCTCTTGACTGTACATCTGACGTGTTGGTCGAAAGGACTCTGAACATTCAAGTGGTTTACTGTTGTGGTGGGACAGGGACTTGCCCATATCAATCCTCAAATCGACATCCATTGATTTTCTTTCTTTGTGTGTGTGTAAAAACATTTGACCCATAAAAGCCCGAGACTGCTGGTGGAAGGCACTGTCTGGACAGATTGCTGATGGTAAGCACTTTGATCTGTAAACAAACACCCTGTTTACGGGGAATATTGTCAGACTGAACCCCAGGGTCAGATCGTGTAACCCAACTGCCAGCGTTACGCATGTGATAACACGATACTAAAATAACCATGTTAACGTGGTTGTGTCTGTTTCTCTGTATGTATGTATATCTGCATTTTCTACAATTTTCTATTTTTCAATTTTCTAAAAAGCTAAGTTTCATTTTTGTATTTGTTTAAAAAAATTATATTTTACATTTTGAAGGCTATGAAAAATAGTTAATGTACTACTTATATTATACAGTCGTGGTCAGAATTATTGGCACCCTTGGTAAATATGATCAAAGAAGGCTGTGAAAATAAATCTGCATTGTTAATCATTTTGATATTTTATTTTTTAAAAATCACAAATATCTAACCTTTCATTGAACTAAAACAATTGAAATTGGGGGACAATCTCATTATGAAATAAATGTTTTTCTCAAATACATGTTGGACACAATTATTGGCACCTCTAGAAATTCTTATGAGTAAAATATCTGTGAAGTATATTCCCATTCATATTTACAATTTTGAGCATACCAGGGTGATTATAAACATGAATTTATCCAGCCATGGCTTCCTGTTTCACAGGAATATAAATAGGAGGGAAAACAAAGGCCAAATTCCCTTAATCATCCATCACAATGAGAAAATCCAAAGAATATATTTCTGATGTGCAGCAAAAGATAATTGAGCTTCACAAATTAGAAAGTGACTTTAAGAAAAGAGCTAGAGCAGTGAAAATTCCCATTTCCATCAGGGCAATAATTAAGAATTTCCAATCAACAGAAAATGTTACAAATCTGCCTGGAAGAGGACATGTGTCTATATCATCCTAATGCAGGGTGAGGAGGAGAGTTTGAGTGGCTAAAGACTCTCCAAGGACCACAGCTGGAGAATTGCAGAAAATAGTTGAGTCTCAGGGTCAGAAAACCTTAAAAAAAACTAATCAAACAGCACCTACACCATGTTGTTTGGGAGGGTTTCAAGAAAAAAAATCAAGAAAAGAAAATGCTCTCATCCAAAAACAATATCCCAGCATATTCTGTTGTCAGACACGACTGGAACTTCAAATGGGCCTGGCTTCTATGGTCAGATGTAACTAAAATTTGCTTTTTAGCAGCAAACACTCAAGATGGGTTTGGTGCACACAGGGATAAAAAGCACCCCATGTGTACAATGAAATATACTGCTGTATTTTTTATGTTGTGGGCCTATATTTCTGCTGGAGGTCCTAGACATCTTGTTTAGATACATGGCATCTTTGAGTCTATCAAATTCCAACAGATAAAAAATCAAAAGTAACTGACTCTGTTAGAAATCTTATAATGGGCCATGTTTGGATCGTCCAACCGGACAATAATCCAAAAACAAACCTTAAAAACAATACAAAAATGGGTCACTGGGCACAAAACCAAGCTTCTGCTATGGCCATACCAGTTCCCTGACCTCAACCCTATAGAAAATGAATGTGCTGAACTGAAGAGGAGAAGCACCATCATGGAGCTGGGAATCTGAAGGGTCTGGAGAGATTCTGGATGAAGGAATGGTCTCTGATCTCTTGTCACGTGCTCTCTAACCTCATCAGGCATTATAGGAGAAAACTCAGAGCTGTTATTATGCCAAATGGAGGTTTCAAAAATCATTGAATAAAAGGGTGCCGTTAATTGTGTCCAATGTGTATTAGAGAAAAACATTTATGTCATAATGATATGACATTATGGCTTATTATGGCTATAATTATATGGCTTATTCTCCAGTGAAAGGTTAGATTTATGTGAAATTTTAAAATAAAAAATGACAAAATGATTAACAATGCAGATATATTTTCACAGCCTTCTTTGATCATATTTACCAAGGGTGCCAATAATTCTGACCATGACTGTATATATATATATATATATATATATAATGTCCAAAAAAAGGGTTAAAATCACATTACATTCTAACATAGCAATATTAAAATATAAAAACAAAAATAAAACAAAAACAAAAATAAATCACTA